AGGTAACCGGTCTATTATATAGGCTAAATGGTAATACTTTATATTTAAAAGCACCCTACTTTATATAAAAGGCTATCAAAGCCTTACTTTTAAGGTCTATTTATACTTAATTAAATACTTATCGGATATTGATTTTTAAGAATATCTTTACTTTAAAGATTCTTTTTAAGGTTTTATCGATTAATAATAGCAAGTAATAGTCTTTAATTATCTTTATATTAAGCTTATAATAATTAATGTAAAATCTTAATGCACTATTTGCTTTTTATATAAATAAAATAAGTAAAACCTATAATTTACTATTAAATATAATCCACCTTTTTTTTAATATTTTAATAATATACTCTTTATTAGCTTTTAACTTCTCTACTAATATTTTATATAATAAACTATAGCCAATATTCTCTGGTCTTTTATTTAAAAATAGTTCGATCTTATAATTGGTATTATAGTAGAAAGGTAGTAATTTGTCCGATTTAATTTTATTAAAGATATTAAAATACTTATAATAATATTCCAGTAATTCCTTTAAAATTATCTTTTATAATTTTAAATTATCCCTTTCTAACTTATTTAACCTTCTATTTTCTTTAATCCTTTTATATTTAATTATAATATTTAATATATCTAACATTATAAATCTTATTTTCTATCTTTTTATTTTAGCTATTATATTATAAGTTACCTCTTCGATTATTACTATATTAAATTCCTCTAACTATCTTAGCCTTTTATTATTAAAGGATATTTTTTTTCTACGCTTACTTAACATCTTCGTTTCCCCTTTTAAATCCCGCTATATTTTATTTATTTTTTTAATTAAACCGTTAAGCTTCGGCTTTAAGATAGACTATTAAGGTTAAGAAGGTAGTTTTTCTTTAAATTATTATTTTAACTTTTTAATATATTCTTTAATAAATACTGCCTTTTTTTTATACTAATCTTCTTTCTTTTACTCTACCTCTATTACTATAATCTTTATATTTAGCTTTTTCTTTTTTACCTTCTTATCCTTTAATTAGTATTTCTTTTTCGATAATAAACTGTCTAAAAATAAAAGTCTCTTCTTTAAATAATTAATAAAGATATTATATTTCTTAAAGAACTTTTTATTTAAAATAATATTATATTTAGCGTCAATAATTAATAATGGTTAATAAAGAAAGGTTCTTCCTTAAACTATTAATTTTGCTTTTAAAGCAATATCGATAATTTATAAAGGCTTATTATTAAACCTACTAATAAGTCAAAACTTAAAGTCCTCTAAGTATTTAATAATTAAATTCTTCTTCTATAGTCTTTTTATAAATAATATACTAATAAATACATCTCTATTTACTTTTATATTAATAAAACCGTTAATAATAGTAAAGAAGGAAGTTTCATTAATATTTATTAAAATAAATATTATAAAAGGCTTTTTCTTTAAACGTTCTATTAATAAATTAAAAGGCGCTTCTTTTTTTATTACTATTATCGTTAATATATCCCTTAAAAAAGAGTTTAAATTATTTAAGGTATTTAATTTTCCTCCTTAAAGGAATTATTAAATTAATTAAGTTTTTCCTTATTAAAAGTTAATTTAGATTTCGACTTTATAGACTTCTATAAAGAAAATTCCTCTTAATCCTTTTTATCCTCCTTAGCCTATATTTTCTAAAGGTTAATGATATAAACTTTATAGTCTTTATTACCGTCCTTTTTCTTTTTATTAAAGAAGCTTTTAATATAATCCTTATTAATATAACCCTTCTCTTTATAAAGGAAGTACTTACTAATATTATAGTATTTATATACCTTTTCCTTTAAAAGCTTTTAGTTAACTCTTAAGGTTTAACTTCCTAATTACTTACTAAAAGTATTATTAAATTTACTATTACCGTTAAAATTATTATACTAACCTCTATAGTAACCTCTACTATTACTAATACCTTTATCCTTCTCTTTCTTCTTAATCTTTACTTTAATTTAATTATTAATTAAAGTAATCTTAATATCTAAATAAGTATAGTTTTTAAAAATTATTATAGGGTTAATATATTATAAAGTTAAGGCCTTTTATAAAGTCCTATAAATACAGTATTTAAACTTATATTTCTATTTAAATTTAAAGTGATTAACCTTACCGACTAAATATATAAAGTTATTTTTAAATACTTAATATTTAATAGGTTTTTTTAATTTAAGCTTATTAAAATTTACTAAGGCCTTTTCTTTTAAATTATAGTCGTTATATTTATATTATATATACTTTATTAAATAGTTAAAGGTATTAATTTAATCGAAGTATTTATTATATAAATATAGCGCTAATACTTTAAAGGCTTTACTGCCGATATAACTTTCAATATATATAAAGAGCGTTTTATTATTAATAAAGTAATTATAATTAACTTCGACTTTATTAATTATTTAATAATACTAAATATTAAAGGATAGAGAATCCTTTTTATTTTTCTTATTTATAAAGACTGGTAAATTAAGGAGCTTTATACTTTTTTTACTTTACTCGGAAGATTTATTCTTATTAATAGTAAATATAACTAATCGGTTTTTTTTAAAGGTATATATTAATAGAGCCTAGTTATTATTTTAAATTAAAGAAGAAAAGTAAAGTTATTTATTACTTTTAATTAAGAAAGATATATTTTATTACTTCTTTTTAAACTTCTCGATTTCTTAAGTTAACTTTCTATTTTAAATAGCTAAAAAAGTTAAAACTTTATATACCTTTTAAATACTATTATATATTTTAATTATTTCGTCTTTAATAGCATTTAACCGCTTCTTTATTATACTAATATTATCCTTAAGTTTGATAATCTAAATATTCTAAATTTTAATATCTTCGTTTAATTTTAAAATCTCTTTATTTTTAATATTTAACGTATTATTTATTACTTTAATATACTTTTAAGCGGTTTTATTAAAAGTCCTATCTTTAAAGTATAAAGTAAAGACTTAATTATAAATAATCTAAATATTATAGTCAAGGTTTATATAATAGTAATAAAGGTTACAGATTTATTTACTTATAGTTACTACTATTAAAGTACAAAACTTAAATTTCTATTATATTTTATAAAGGCGTTCTTTAATAAATTTAATCTATTCTGCTTTATAAAGTACGCTTTTAAATCCGATCAGGGTTTTATTATTATTTTACTTACAGATTAGTTAAAAGGGGATATTGAGGCCTTTATATAATATATACTATTTAATAAGGGATTTAAAACGTTCAGTTTAATTAATAAAGATCTTATTATAAACTATATAATATTAGAGATTATCGAAATATTTAGAAATATTATATCAGAATATTATATAAGAAACTTTAACGGTAAAGATATTTTATTTATTACCCGAAGTGTCGATTATAATTATACCTAATGTAACTATATCTTTTTAATAAGGACTATTTAAAATTACTTTAAAGATATAAGTAGCTTTTTTATTAATTATAATCTTAGGTTTTTTATTTAAAAGGTACTATTAAAAGGCATTAATGGAAAAATAGACTTTCTTTTAAGACTGTTTACGATTTTAATTGAAGGGATTAATAGCTTTGCCTTTATTATTATTCTAAGCTTTAACTTTACTGGTCGGGGGATAAACTATACCGAGGTTATATTCGGGTTAAGTTATTATAAGTAATTCTTTACCGTATAAAGTTTAGTTTATTTTAAATAGTATAACCGTTCTTTAACGTATATTAATTAAATTGTAAATCTTCGGATTCGTTATTTTTCGAAATTGTAAGATATTTAAACCTTCCTAAGCTATAGTTTATTGATCTTATAATTATTACGATGGAGTGGTTTAATAGGTTAAGCCAATATTGTATTCCAGTTTATTAAGGTATTATAAGATGAAGAGAAAAAGAAGAGAGTACCAGTTATGGCTTATAGCTCCGCAATATATCCGAGGTGGGAGCTCTGCCCTACCTTTCACCTATCATCCTTGCTCTCTTCCTATTGGCCGCAGCCCCACTCCATACACAACCCTAACCCTACATCCTGTTCATCATGTCCCTCACTGCTACGCCGTAACAAATATTAAGTATAGTATTAAGTATAGATATTAAGTGCAGGTATTAAAAGTGCAACGCCCATAGTGTATATACGCATAATATGACCAATACAAGTACTACAATATTAAATATTTAATTACACAGGTATCTTTTATACTATACAATGCTCCACTTATAAACCGCTCATGCTCTATAAACCGCTTATTAAACCGTAAACCGTTCAATCCCCCTTAAGCCATTCATTTGTTTAAACATTACACGTTTTGTAAGCCAATATTCATTTACCCACGAGCGTAAGCGGCTCACGCTTGCGAGCCGTATATATACCATATATTCACGGCTCATGGGGACCAGCATATGACGGTAGGGGAATCGGGGCGTTGTTTCCACAATGGCAGACCATGAAGGTTTGTGGATGAGAGTCTTGTAGAAAGATGTTTTTTAGTTTTGAAAGAAAGCTGTAAATGTAGAAGCATAGAGCGACGCAAATGAATTGGGGCTTTGAGTGCATAGATATTTTTCATGTACAGCGCTGTTCTAGATATCTAATACCCTATTCCCCGTTTTGCTTTACTCGTTGCTTTATTCACTCAGGTAGAGTAGAGGAGGCGCATCACTGGTGTGGCATGGTGTAGCAAAGTCTAAACCTCAGGCTTTTCCGTCTGGTCCCATCCTTCCTCACACAAAGTGCCTGCTTTCAACGAGGTGCATTGACAAGCGTGACTCGAATTATCGATAATCATGGAAATTTCGACCACGACTAATGGATTGGTAATTGCGCAATAACTGGGTTCGGGGGCCCTATGTCAAACTGCATGTATTGGCGGTTTATTTTTCTGCGGCTGCAGTGTGGTCTGGGTGGCAGAAATCAATGGTATGGGGTTGCATTTGTGCAGCTGTCAGATGCAAGGGTGGGTAGATAATAAATCGGATTTCAGGGCCATTGAAGCAAGAACGTAAACCTGAAAATGGCTTGGTGGTCTAGTGGTAAAGACGTCCGTGCCTGTTCCAGGAGGTGAGCTTGCTTGCGCTCCTGTCGATCGGCGGTGGCGGAAGACGCAGGTTCGAGCCCTGTCAGAGGCATTTTCAATCTGGAGAGATTTTCAAATCTCTCAAGATACATACATCCCTGTTCTTTTTAGATTTTTTTACGATCCAACCTCGACTTTGTCGCCATTTCTCAAAATATTCATGATCAACGCAGGCAGCCTTCGCTTTTATGCAGGCTACTAAGCGATTGTTTTCGCATTGTATTTAGCGTCGCCAGTAAATAAGGACTCGTAAAAAGAAACCAAAGCAAAGTACTGTACCTAGACTTGTGTGGGACTCCAACCCACACCTTTCCCGAGTCGGAGATGCGGGCTCGATTCTCGTCCAATCAGCACTTCATATATTTTTCCTCTCTGGAATATTGGGGGGCCTGTAACGAACGCTTAGCGGCTACTGGGTTTTAGACAGCAGCTGACATATGTCAAAGCCGAGACCTGACATGGCTGGGCATTGCTTGACTTGGCTAGCATTGTGGGGAGTAGTGAAAACATACCTTAACTTGAAGGGCGTGAAAATATAGATCTCGGTCAAAGCGTGGGATGGATCAACAGTCGAACTTAAATCATGCAAGTTGTGTACCTATTAAAGCGAGTGGCTGAGTAGTAATCCCACAGGAAGCAACCAGTAAGATATGATCTCAATTACATAGTAATAACCTTCGGAAACTGCTGGACACAAGGACTCCCCCGATTAACATCCTCCCCAACCCCAGCAGACATCCACAACTGGCCACCACAGTACAAAATATTCCTCCGTCCCGCCACAGAAAGCGTCAGCTCGCCAGTAAAAGAATTAACACACCCCTTGATCTTGGCAACCGCGGCCCCAGCAGCAACCTGCGACTCAACCGACGCCGTTGTCCCAACCTGAGGCCAGTTGCTGCCCGCAGACGAGGTGCTCATGTACGCCGTGTACGCGTACGAGTACGGGGGAATGTTGTATGCCAGGCCGAGGTACCCACTCTCATCCAGCTTCCAGATGTACTTGTTTTGAACGCTGGGGGATGTCGAGCTTGACACTGCCTGCCAGGTGATGCCGCCCGTGAGACCGTTGAGCATGTTGGCGTAAATCTAGAAGACGGGGGTGGTGCCTGCCTCGAGCGCGTAGGCTTTGAAGGTCTGAGACGGTTTCGACGACTGTCTGGGTAACCGTGACGGTTGATGGGACGTCCACGGCCTGAGTGGACGAGGCGGTGGCGGTCACGAGTTCGGTGCTGATCTCGGTGTTGGTTTCGGTGGCGACAAGAGACTCGACGACAGTGGTAGTGATGGAGATGGTAGTCGGAACCGATATGGTGAGGGCGCTGTCGGTGGAAGTGACGGTCACGGTGGTGGCGGATGGGGCCTCACCGGTGATGGTGGTCGGTGTGACCCCAAGACACTTGCAAGCCGAAACGTACTATTCCCACGAGGGGCAGTCTGCCGCGGCATATGTGGGCATGGACTGAGCTGCCAGCACTGTGTCTGCGGCGCGAGCATAGATGCGAGAAGAAGACCCAGCAGCAAGTGTGGTCGTTGAAGTTTGGAAACTGGTGTGGGTTCCAACAATGGTCTGAGTAATGGTGACAACTTCGGTGTGCGTGCTAGCTGTCGTAGTTATGCCGATTGTTTGCACCTGGGTCTCAGTCGACACCACCGAGGTGACTGTCTCGGTGAAGACAGATGTCTCGACCAAGCTTGCATACTGTGTAGGTATTTCAGTAACCGTCTCGGTAACCGTGTTGACCTCTTGCGTCACTGTCACGGCCAGAAGCGACAAGCAATCCTGTGATCCGTCAATGAGAGGCCCAGAGATGGCTTTCAGGCATTGGTTTGTGCGGCAGCATCCAGCGGACGCCAGCTGGAGCCAGCTGAGAGCCGACAGAAGGGCAACTCCCTGCTTCATGACAATGAATTAAACGAGTGACGGGAATGAAGTGACGAAGCAGAAGGCGACCGACAAAACAACATCTGCAAGCAGCCCGCCCGCCAGAGGGATGCACGAGTTTTAAAGCTCATCCTCTCAATTCCCAGCTGACGATTAGGACTCTTGACCTTGCATTTTCGAGAAGCTTGCTTCGTGATCCTCAGAGGTGTCGAGTTTCGTGAAGCAGAGGCCAATCAACAGTCGCCCCCTACTGCGCCTCTCCACCCGACACAATGGTCCCTCACAGGCCTGTACTGGGGTCAAATCTTAAGACGCCCCACACCAGCCCTATCAGCGCCCAGCTGAAAATCAATAAGCAATCTTTTGATATTCGAAAACGGTTGATTAGTTCCGCTATCGCATGATAGAGCACAGCTGGATGCCCCTGTCGATATCCGTGGGTGCCCATGGCCATTCATCATGACTCGGCATTCTCTGATCTGTCATGTTTTGACCTGTTCAATTAGGCCCCTGATAGGAGTCGGAAGTTTTTTGTTTGTCGTAGCCGTCTGTCATCTGACTTCCATAGATTCAAGTTACTCGCGAGTCCATGAGGGAAAGCACATAACACCATCGCAGCATTGATGAGGCAATGGTAAATGGTACAGTCAGGCAGACGCAGAAGTAGAGGTCGAAGCGTTGTGTTATAGTACCGTATCATATTGTGTGATAGTATCATATTATCAAGGTAGCAAAGGGCTCTCACCACACCCCCTCAATCCTCATCAGTGGTGATCAACGTCACCAGGAAATGGGATTCCAGTTTTTTGTGGTAGCCCAAACGGGTTCGACTTTCTCAACTGCTTCTCATGACGTTTACGATCTTCTTCTGCTGGATTGCGCCCCTTGATTCCACCCAGTGCTGTGATGATCCACTTGTGCTTGTTGTCCATGAACATCATCGAGTGCGATTTGCACATCTTGTTATTTCCCTCTCCAAGCTTGTACTCCTAAGGTGGGACGTTAGGAGAATGGTTGCAATTCCCATACCCAAGCCAGGCGCTGAACCCCTCCTTGCTTCGAGTCACCCCACTGGTGGTGAGCTGATGCATGCAACAATTCACCCAAATCTGTTCAATAAACTCGGCAACGTGTCTGCAATCAACCTCAAGCGGGGTGTCGAGCTCATTGCAAAAGTAAAGGGCGCTGGTTTGTTCACACATCATGCGCCGGCATGATTTCGGGGGGGCCCCGCATTTGCCGGGGAGGGTGCCGAGTATCTCCGAGTTGCGTCGGATGTCCACCATGTTCCCCATGGCCATGGCGGCACATTTGAGCGAGTTGAACTTCCAGTTGGCGGGGACGATTCCTTGGTACCACCAATCCGGGTCGCTGAGGTCTTGTACATTCGTATACCGGTCACGCCATTGGTCTTGTCTCTTGGCGATTGTGCTGCCCGTGGTATTGTAATGCTTTTTAGTGGAGGTTTTCAGCGGCTGAAAGTTCGGGTTGAGAAAATAGATTTGGTCCCAAATTTCCTGTTCTGTGGTATTAGTAAGTTTACCTTTGGGTCAAGGGATGCTACTAACTGACATCTACAGAGCCTCGCAGTTTGACTTCTGGTCCTCCTGGAAAGATGGCTCCTCTCCATTGCATACCGTCCGCATTGCCATGTGGAGTGCTACCCTTGATACTTCCAGATGATACATCAGGTTGTGGTGATGGCAGACAAAGCCCCTAACAAAGGTCAGTGCATGATTCTCAGTGACAACGAAAGTAAGGGTACGCACAACGGAAAGAACGGCAATGATAGCCAAGACACTTTGTCGTAGACGCATTACGTGAATCTGAACTTGATCGCGGTTTTCAAAGAAGGATGGATGAGGGATGATTGGTCTGGCCTCTTTGAGCTGTTGTTGTTCCTTCAAAAATCACACATTTCGGACTTCGCCACAGACGCGGTCACTTGGGTCACTTGAACCAACTCCGGGAGCCATATGACCACTTCCCATGATCCCGGGACCGTGGTAACTGCAAACTTTAATTACAAGAGACTGAAACCAGATAAATGTATTTGCAGAAGGATATGCATGAATTCACCAACAACACTTCAGACGACACTGCTAAACAAGCTGGAGTATGTTTAGTCATACAGTTGGCAGCTGCTGAAAGTTGTCATTCTATTCAAAACTCTTCCACTTCGCTTTACTAGATTATCGAGACGGGACCGGGACCATACTAGCAGTGACGCCTAACAACCTCACGGTTTCCGCTTGACATCCGCTGCTCATACTCGCCAACCAATCGGCAACTTGCCATGAACCAAGGAAACCAAACAAGCGGAACAACGTTGCTTGTCTTCGGATCATTCCGAGGCGCTGACCCAATTGCCGAGTATCAAGTCGCTTAGACACTGGAAGAGAGGACGTAACCCCACAAATATCCGAGAAGTTGCCCTCAGGATGAAGCGCCAATGCATTCTGCCGATAGGTCGAGAACTTGGCCACGCCAAATTGTTAATCTGGATAGAGTGCCAACCACCATCAACATATGACCCTCACTATGCTCGGTTGGCTGTACCGAATCGTGATTGCAAACCAGTCTAATTTTGGGCCATAAGGGTGTGTGTGGGGTGGCAAGGCATTTCTCCTCCTATGAAGTTGTGGTTGTTGTACGGCGTTGACAAAGGAGAATATGAAAGGGTCCCCATGCCAAAACCGGGGTCAAAGTCCACACATCTTTGCTTTCCATCCATCAAGTCCTTTGTAAACGCAAACTATCATCGCTGTCCACCATGCATTGGAAGATTCTTGCCCTCGCGGCCCTGGCCGATGCCCAGGGTTTGAACGGCCTTAACCACTTGCGTTTCGGGTGTTCCCAGATCACCGTGGAGCGCCTTGATCCTCTCGTCAACCCAGGAGAGTTCCCAACTCCGCACATGCACCAGGTTGTCGGAGGAAATGCGTTTAATGCGTCCATGCCGTATGGAACTGACATCGCCAACCTTGCCACATGCACCACCTGTGGCCCGGCGGATGACTTCTCCAACTACTGGACGGCGAATGTGTACTTCCGAGCAAGGAATGGAAGTTACAAGCGTGTTCCTCAGGTGCCCAACCGGTACTCCCCCCTGGCCTTGCAATCTGTGTGGCGATGACTGATGGTTCTTTCAGCTTCCTGTTCAATGA